CATAACATCACTAAAATAAATTTTCAAAATAATGTTGAATAAAATAATCTGTTGCCCATTGAGTATATTTTGTAAGAACCTATTTAGTATATTTTATACATAAGCCTTTTTCTAGAGAAGGGAATGAACAGAAAAAATGTCATGCAAAGAAACTGCTGGCAGAGGGGAGGGAAATTGTAACAAGAAATGTTATCATAAATTTAAACTTAAGATAAAAACTCAGGCTATATAAGATTTAGAAAGTCAACACATATTTTAAAAAATTTTTAGGATAGATAATTTTCTACAAGAAGCATCAAACAAACATGACAAAATTACTATATTTAAAATACGAGAAGAAAGAAATGATGAAATGAAAATAGAGTTTAATCTGAGTATTATGTTTTATAATATTTAAAGAAAATTTTAGAATTTGGTGCATTTTCAAAAATTAATAAAACAAGTTTTTATTGAACAAAATATTTGTAAATACTGTGTTAATGGATTTTGCTGAAGTAAAGGCTTAGGAGATTTTTAAATAAAATCCAAAAAACAAAAATTTATTAGAAATTGAGTTTTAAACCTGGATTTTATTTAATATGTAATGGCTTAATTTTAAGATTTGTAATAGTTTAGAACTAAAAATAGCAAATTGGCAAATACAATCTAATATCTGAGATGATTCATTATGGATCTTAATCTCTATTTAAATTTATTAAGAGTTTTGTCAAAACTTTTGGATAAAAAGTTGAATTTAGGTAGTTTTAAAAATGTCTCGGGTTAGATACAGGACAGGATACCAGAATTTGTCATTGGTTGTACAGGTATAGTCCCATCATATTAACTGTGTAGCTGTGCTCCAATTTTGATGGAGAACATCCCTCTTTTCCAGCAATCTAACCACTTGAGAGGACTCTCAGCTTATTTATATTTAGGATACCCACATACTGCACAGGCACTACACAACATCCATGCCTGCACTAAGATTTGATCCCAGACCCATTAGTTTAGCAGTGCTAACTTCTATTCATAACCAGAGTGAGTTAAATGTAAGAGGCATAGATTAGTATAATAATTGACATTTCTTTTCAAACACTTGTATTTTTTAGTTTTATTTTCAAATAGCAAAATGACCTTTTTTTTTTTTTTTTTTTTTCTTTCCCATGTATACTTTTGACCACCTTTCTTAAAAACATGTTTCTTTTGATGATAAGAAACTGAAAAGTGTGGCCTTACCCTGGAGAATCTGCAGCAATTCTGCAACATGGCAAGAGCAATGCAACAATTTGCACAAGTCATTGATGACAATACGGTTCGAGCAGTCGTGTTGATGGGGGTTATGTCCTTGTACAGGGGAATTTTCAAGGAAAAGAAAAAGAAAGACAACAACTACCCATCACCATGTTTCTCTCCAACGGAAAGCCCCCTGCTCTACCATCAGCACCTCCAGCAGAAGTCTCTGAGTGAGCCTAAAGCTTCTACGAGTCGAGTGAGAGCATGTCCGACATGAACACAAGATTATTCGCTTCTCTCAGAAAACAATTTTATTACTGTATAAGTTTTTTGTAATTAACCTTATTAATAAGTACTGACAAATTTAAGTAATACGTACTGTTGTAATTTTTGTTTTAATGTTAAAGTGTAAATACTGTTTACATATTTAAAACATTCGTGTACCCGCATACACAAAAATTCTTGGAGACAAATCCTACTTCACAGTTTTTCAGCTTTCGTGGAAGGTTCTGGTCCCCATTAACTGCGTAAACGTATTTTTGGTAAAATAAATAATTATTCAAAAAGCTTTGAAAATTAACTTGCATAAGTCTTCAAACGTTTTGAGCAAACAGTTATATTTAATGAAAATAATGGGGCATTAACTATATTGTTGGATATCCTTTAGCTAAAATTACAATTTTCATGCTCTCTCATATATGTAAACAGTATATATCTTCATTAAGGATGTCCATTTTGTTCCATTCCTTCATAAGAATTGTTTTTAGAACTTTTAAAGAAATATCATGTTTCCTTATTCTTTTTTCCAATTCACTCCATATATGCTTGATATGATTTAAGTGCAAACAATGTGGAGGAATTTGATTAATTTAGTATAATAAGTACAGGCGAGTATTTAGGGCTGTACATTTAGTATTGTTATCCTGATAGAATTTGAAAGTAATTTACATTTCAGGTTTTCATTAAGAATATACAATCAAAAGTCGTTAATTCGGACACCCATAATCCGGAATGATCTATAATCCGGACCTCAAAGCTAAAAACTGTCTGCGCATGCGCCGCGTTGACGCGTGCGCGTAAGACCTTTTACGACTGCGCATATGTGTGTGCGCAAGCACAGAATACGTTTTCGCCTGCGCGTTTTATGTATAAGCTAAAATTATCTAATTATCTATTTCAGTTAATGTTGATGATTGTGTTGTTCCTTAATCTTTGAATTGAATCCGGCTTATTATTTTCTGCAGACTGTAAGAGCACTACTATAAAAGTAAACTTGAACTTTCAATTATGTCAAATAGAATTTCCGATTCTGGAGCTCCCAAAGGATCGTACAAAACGAAAGTATGTTTCGTTGTCCATCAAACAAAAAGTAGAATTGCTGCAAAAAATGGATAAAGACATGAAGAATGTGACAGAGAGGTTAGTGAAAACGAAAAAATTTCGATTGACAAGTTAGTCGGTATTCTCGGCACAGCAATTAACGGGACTTGAACAGCGGAACTTTGTAACTGAACAAAAAATTATGTCTGTTTATAGAATTAAAAAGAAAGTATTATCACATAAAACGAAGCAAAACAATTTACATTGAAAGAAATGTTTAATAAAGTAAACAAATAAATATTAAGTTTTTTTTTTTTTTTTTTTGGTAAATTTTGATACCCTTTAGATCATAATTGTTCTTTATTTCATAAATTACGGTTTCATATTTTTAATTTTAGAATTTCTGCATGCCATCTTACGAGATTTAAACTGATGATCTATAATCCGGAATCGCCGAAGTCCCGACGAGTCCGGATTAACGACTTTTGACTGTATATAGATTTATACTAATGTGTATTATTTTTTACAAAAAAAAAAAAAAATTCCCTATCGCAAAGACACTCAAACATCCCCAAACCATTTAGTCTTCACCCCTGTGCTAAAGAATAGGCAGTACAATTTTAGTTCAAATCTTCATTTGGGTTCTTCCCATAATAATTCATCTGTTGGATTCAAATACATTATTTTTTGACTCATCTGCATACATAAAAATTGTCCCAATATGAAAAATATTTGTTTACTGTGGATTCTGCGAATGGCATACGTATTTTTCTTGTTGATGAAGAATTTCCTTGCTGATCGTCTATGGCAGTGGTCGGCAAAATATTTTGTCAACAAAGACAGTTATCAACAGCTCAACGATAGAAATCTCTTTTGAGAGCGAAGTTTTTAAATTATATAGGTAGGTATATTGTTATTTACTTAATTAGGGTACTCTTATGCTGGCTTTTACTAAGAATGTCTTCAATCTGATCAACGTACGCTCACTGCGGTTGACCCTTTTCCAACTCTCCCATTCACGCTTGTCTTGTATACTCCTTTCGTTCATTATCTTTATATTCCAAATCTTCTTAACATACCTTTCTCAATACTACCTCTATTTTCACTCCCAAAAAATTAACTTGAAACTTCAACTTTTAAGTCTTAAGTAAACGATACAGGTATGTCGAATAAAACTAGATACTATACTTCATAACTATTTATTGATAAAATAAAATCGTAAAGTATCCAAAAACTTAAATCTCGATAATGACGAACAAACAGTGAACAATGGCCTTGCTTTTGTTTTGCATCTCCTTGGAAAGGTTCTGTAACTCAGGTTTGTATGTTATTTTTAATTTTAAACATGATTCCAAGTTCTCGTCAATAAGACAACTTCTCAATTTACTCTTAATAAGGTTCATGCTTGAAAGTGATTGTTTATATGAATATGAAGACCCAAATAAGGAAAGAATAGCAAACGCTAATTTTTTCAGCTGATTATATAAGTGAGGAATACTATTCTATATGTTAAAAATCAATATCTTCCTACTCCGGGTCTTTTAAAACAGATCACTTATGCTGTGAGCTAAGCTCACATTTGTTTTTCTCCAGTGTTTCTGTATCAGCGCTAAGACGTTCAAATTTCGAACTCCGTAATTAATTTTTTTTACATTTTGACTAGTAATTGGATTTAAAAGTTGCCGATGTCAGTATTAAAGAGAGAAAAAATTCTCTTGCGATAGTTTTAAGAGGGTTTTTTTTTTTTTTTTTTTTTTTTTTTTTTTTTTTTTTTACTGAGAAAAACTTGTTTTGAAATAGCAAATGTCAATATCAGAATTATTTTCTTGGCGATGCTTCAACAGGCTGGGAAGTTTCTTTTTCAAAATCTTGAGCAAAAGGAGTGAATTTGTTTTCAAATGAAATAAATTCTTCTAACATCGAAAAAATTGTGTTTCCTCTCCCCTGTAGTTTATGATTTAGATGAGACAAAACGTCTATCATGAAATTTTGTGGACCCCCTGATCGTTCGTTAGTTCTGCGTAGACTCCAACTGCCGTAGTTTGTACGGAAATTCATGAAAAACTACGAGCTACGAAAAGTATGGCAAAAACTACGGATTTTATAGAAACAGAATAGGAAAACCAGCGGAAACAACTAATTCATGCGATGATTACCTGAATATTCGTGTCATCATATATCACGTGTTAAGTGCATTGCTGGTTTTGAAGAATAGCCAATCGTAGATCAGTAACTCCAATCGTTACTGACTTGCCAATAGTTCTCTGGCAACATCTGTCTACTTTGTCTATCTTCCAGGTTCGTTGCTGCTGCGTGTTTAGCTTGCCCTCGGCTCCATTGTTTGGATTGCCATCTCGTGGGGCGGAGTTTGCCAAATAAAGAAAAGCGCGAGTTTAAAGCTCTTCAGATTTCTGCAGTGAGTAACGGAATTTTCATAATGGGACATATCAGTGGAGGTTCCTTGTAATATGACCATCGACACAGCAGCCAATGTTACCATCATTCGAAAAGATTTGCCTCAACAACTGAGAGGTAATCTCATCTGGTAGTCGCCCTACGTTACAGTCCAGACTGTGTCAGGCGAGAAGATCGACATCGACGGAAAAGTAAACGTTAACATCACGTGTAGAAGTGCCACCTACCATCACACGGCATAAGTGGCAGAGATTATAGACCCTTGGATCCTCGGATTGTACTTTCTAAGGAAATACCAATTTTTCCTTAGACTTTAAAAAAACGAAATGCAGCCTTTGATGACATAGCCCTATTCGGAATTAATGATGAAGGAGTGAAATCTATCCACAGAACTATTGTTCAAGACGATATCACAATACTCGCAAGAACAGAGTTTACTTCCTGGATCCATACCCGATAATAGAAATTCCCGCTACGGCATTATAGAATATTCCAAGAACTGTAACAGCCCAAAAGGTACTCACACTCGTCGACCTACCGTTGTTCCGGTGAGAGTTGCCAACGTTATTGAAAAGGCGAGAGTTATTAAGAAAGGTGAAATGGTTGCAGCATATACTCCAGTGACCAGCGTTAAACAAGACATTAACACTGCAGAATCTGTGTCTTCAGAGAGCATTACATCGGAGTTATTGTAGAATGCACAATTAAACGATAAAGAGAAGAATGATGCCGAACATGACATTCAAGATCTTCAAGATGTTTACTCCCGTTCGAACTAGTTTGACGCGACATAGAAACGACACCGGTGCTCATTCACCAATCAAGCAATATCCAAGACGTCTACCGATCGCTAAAAATGAAGAGGTACGAACACTTTTAAACGGCATGCAAGAAAGCGGTGTCATCGAGCCTTCAGCAAGTCCATGAGCATCTCCCATCGTCCTCGTCAGAAAAAAAGACGGTTCGACTAGATTTTGCGATGACTATCGGCGGTTCAGAGGTTAAGAAAAAAGACAGCTAACGTCTTCCTAGAATCGACGACATTTTGAACACTCTTTTGGGAAGCAAATGGTTTTCCACGCTCCATATAATGACTGGATATTAGCAAGCAGAAATACAGCCTGATGACAGAGAAAAGACAGCATTTACTAGGGGGCAAGAACTTTGGCATTTCAAAGTGATGCCGTTTAGTCTGTGTAATGCGCCGGCAACATTCGAACGCCTCATGGAGACTGTTTTGAAAAGTCCTTCCTACAAAGCCTATCTGATATACCTGGATGACATCATCATCATCGTCGGAAAGAGTATTGAACAACATCTAGAAAATATTAGAAAGGTACTCCAGATACGAAAAGATGCCGATCTAAAGTTGAGTCCCGCTAAATGTAAATTAGACAGGAAGTGACTTATCTCGGACATGTCACCTCTGCTGAAAGTTTGTGCACGGATCTTGAAAAAGTGTCAGCAGCTAAAGACTGGAAACATACCGAAAATGTCCATCAGCCGAGAAGCTTCCTAGGGCTTTGCACCTACTATATAAGATTCATGAAAGACTTCTTCCATCGCAAGAGCCCTTTACAAGCTGATAGAGAGGAAGCAAAATTTCTTGTGGGCAAAAGAATGTGATGATGTATTTAAGAACCTGAAGGAAGCTTTAACATCTGCTCCAATCCTGACGTATCTTCAGATCGACAGACCTTTTATTCTCGCCGGGGAGGCGAGCAATGAAAGTGTCTGTGCTGTTTTGACCCAAGAAATAAACGGCCAGGAACGTGTAGTGGCTTACTGGAGCAAGTGACTGTTTAAACCGGAGAGGAATTACTGTCACCAGGAAAGAGTTGCTCGCCATAGTTAAAGCCTTCTTTCCAAAAGTTTCACTCAGTCAAAGAAGCACATCGAAATTTTATACTCAATTTTTCACTGGTCATGGACCTTTTAATACATATCTCTTTCGATTTGGACTACGTACGACTGAGCTTTGTTCTTGCGGGGAGTTGGGAGACCCTGAACACTTTATCTTTCACTGTTCATTTACTAAAAAACTTCACTTGAATAAACCTTTAGATCAACACAGGCCAAAATGGGCTGAATTGATATTAAAAAACTCTAGTGAGAGTAAGAAATTTAAGGAAATTATGCTTTTCTGTCAGGAATTAAATTTTTCTGTAAATAATTCTCTCAGATCATCTCTATTGGGAGTGAGTAATTGACTTTCAGCGACTGTTAGATTTTTACTGTATAATGGTAATTGTTTAACTTTGTGTGTTTGATGCTTATTATTGTTCAGTTTTGTTGTTTCCACTACTTATGTTACTGATTTAAAATTAGAAATGGTTTTACGTAGAACAGACGTATCTGACATTGAATGTATCTATGCTCTTATAAATTGTAACGGTTACTTGTAGCCTATTACTTTCTTATATTGTACAAATAGTCGGTTTTATTTGTGAGGCAAATAGTATTTGTTGTATGGTACTGAAATCGTTCTTAATCATATATATATCATGATTATTTTGTTCAGTTTTGCAATTGTTAATTAAATTTAACAGAAAATTTTTGTGACAATTTTAATTATTTTGCATTTTTAATGCATTCTTTTGTAATTGAATTGATTCGCTTTGGTGAATTTGATAGGCATTAATTGTGCATTCTATTATAAAAATTTTCATTCATGATAGTTATTTTATATTAATTTTCTTTACTTTAATCTTGAATGCATTTTGTATTTGATTTTGAAATTCTGTAAAATTTTATGTCGGCATTTTTCTAGTATTGCATTTGTCTTAGCGATGCCAGCAAACCTAATCTAGAATAATTATTTTGTATACCTTTTTGCACTTTTCTGAATTGAATAGTTGACCTGTTTTTTGTGAATTTGATTGGTTTTACTTGAGTTCTCTATTGTAAAATGTGCATTTAAGGCAGTATTTTATAATAATTTTCTTTGACTTATTTTTGAATGAATGTGGTTTTTGAATTGGAAATTTTTCATATCTTTATGTTGGCATTATTCTTGTACTGTATTTCTATCGCGTTGCCAGCAAACCTGATGTAGAGTTTTTATATTACTTGGAGTGGTTTTGTTTTTAAACCAAATTTATGTTTTGTATTGTAATAATATCTCAGGTTCAGTGTATTTTATGATAATATTGTTCAGTTATCAAAGTTATTGGTTCTTAATTCTGAATTCATATGAAAAAATTTTATTTGGCAGTTTATTATTGTCTTAGTTTATCTTTATGCATTTTTTTTTAAATTGAATGGTTCTTCTTGAATTTGTGAATCTAATTGAAATTAATTGTGTATAATACAGTAATGGATGTATTATATTTGTTTGTTTGTTTGTACCATAGTTTTTATTTAAATTAGTTGGACTCAGTTTTGAAAGTATTTCGTATTTTCAGTACAAATTATGAAAGTATACTCGGTTTATTGTTTGAATGCTATAGGTACTACTTGTAACATGCTTTCTTTAGGTCTATTAATGACTATGCTACTTATGTCCTTGTGTTCTTGAAGGCCTTGTATGCCACTGTAAACTTATTCTGCTTAGTTATAATAAATAGCTTCTGGAGGCAGGGGCTTTAATCTGTGTAAGGCAGACATCATGTCAGCTAGGTAATGGAGCCCCTGTTCTCTGGTTAACAGTTAAAGCCGTAGAATATTTCCATCATTATATATACGGCAGAAAACTCCTGCTGCGTACGGATCGTGTACCATTAGCCTGGCTTTTAAATTCCAAGAATCTTAAGGGTCAAATAGCCAGGTGGATACAGAGACTCCAGGAATATGACATTACTAAGGGGTCATCACACGTAAACGCCGACGCCCTGTCTAGAAGATTTTGTCCAGAAAACTCCCGATATTGTTCCAGGGTCGAAGCGAAATACGAGCTGGTTAATCCAGTCGCACGGTAAATTACATCAACATCGGCTGATCAAGACCAGTGAAGTGACAAAAAAGTCAGGAAAATCCAGCTGGAAGAAAGCGACATTAAACCGATAATTGATTTAATGGAAACCTCAAACAAAAACCTAACTGGCAGGAGATTTCGAGCTTTGTCCAACGACGAAACAATATTGGACTCCCTGGGATTCACTTCATACTTGCAACGGCGTCTTTCACCGCAAGTTCGAATCGGATGAAGCAAAAACATTCCAGTGGCAACTGATACTTCCAAGATCCCGGATCACGAACGTCCCTAAATAACTACATAGCAAGCCAACAGAAGGCTACTTCGAAATAATGAAGACTTTGCACAGAGTTCGACAGCGCTTCTATTAGGGTAATGAAAAGGATGACGTGCAAAAGTGGTGCCGATCTTGCGATGCTTGTGCGGGTCGGGAAAGACCGCAGAAACGCAGCCGATTCAAGCTGCAACGTTACAGTGTATGAACACCGTTTGTACATATCGCCTTTGACATCTTAGGACCTCTGCCACGAACTGCTGATGGCAACAAATACATTCTCGTTGTCATTGATTACTTCAAGTGGCTTGAAGTATATCCTATTCCTGACCAACAAGCTGTCACAATAGAGGAGGTAATACTACAGCACTAGATTTCCAGGTTTCGAGTGCCTCTTCAATTACATTCCGATGAGAGAAGGAATTTTACCTCGGCTGTAAACAAAGAACACTGTAAGCTACTCGGCATTGACAAAACCCAAACGACGCCCTTACATCCCCAGTGGGACGGCACAGTAGAGAGGTTCAATCGAACCATCTTTAAAAACCTCTCATTGGTGGCATCCAGAAACCAACAGGACTGGGACAAGAAGTTACCATTCTTTTAACTGGCTTACCGCAGTGCTGTCCACGAGACTACCGGCTATTCCCCCTCTCAGATGCTCTTCGATGGTGACCTTCGTCTGCCTCGTGATCTCTTTTTTGATCGCCCTTTAGATGCGCCTTCATCGCTTGAGGAATGCATCTAAGATCGCCAGGCCCGGTTTAAAGTGATGCACAATTTTGAACGAGAGCAGAATTTTGGTGACGGAGATGATGAACACCCGAAGCCCAGAGCTACTGGACATCGATTCAACGAAGGAGACAAGGTGTGGTTGTGGAATCCGACTCGACGAAAAGGACTCTGTCCGAATACATCCTTCTTTTCCGCTGTGAGTGTTGGATTTCAAAACAGTGTAATCTGTATTTACTTTACTTTAATTTTATACTTTTAATTTTACAATACTTATTACTTTAACTTTTTGGCCACTAATAATTGTTGTTAGTTTGCTTTCTTGGAAGTGGCAGCAGGGCAATTCATAGAATTAGGAAAATATGTTTCTGTATTTAGTTAGGCTTATTGAAGATTAATTGTATGTTATATACCTGAGTGATGTTTTATTAAATAAATTAATACTTTTGAATATAGTAGTCTCTTTAGAGTCCTTGATACGTTGGTAAGCGTAATAGTTTATTTTGACGCGTAAGAGAACATTTTAAAGGTACCCTCGAAGGGACACGAAGAGACGTTAGTTTGGAATTCTAAAGTATAAAATGGAAGGCTAAAGAAGCTATTAAAGTTGAAAGGAAGATTCACAGAGCTGCTTTTACTAAAGCCTTCAACGTTTTAGAAGAAATTTTAAAAGAAAAGTAACATAAATTCTTCTGAATTACAAGTCGGAGCTTAATGTGTTTGTTTCGAAAGCTCAACGTTTGGAAGATACGCACATACATTTATCTTAGCACACTGTCCGGCAACGAAATTGAAGCAGAATTCGATGTTATTGAAGACTATCGTGACAAGGACGTTAGAATCGAAACTAAAGTGAAAGATATTCTTCAGAATCTACAAAATGTAAGTACTTCAAATTTAATTTTGAATGAATCTGTGAATGAGAATGTATGTAAACGTACATTTAAACTTCTAAAGCTTGAATTACGAAAATTTGATGGTGAAATTAAGGAATGGTTATTTTTTTGGAGTCAGTTTGAAAAAATTGACAAAGATACTACGATTTCTGATAGTGATAAATTTCAATATTTATTAGAAGCGACTGTTGAGGGTTCGCGTGCAAAAGGAGGTTATAGAAAAGTTTTCCTCCAGTACATCTGCTAATTATTCCTAAGGCCCATAGAATGTTTGAAGGCTCGTTTTAGTCGAAATGACTTGCAAGTGGAAGTTTATGTGAGAGAATTGTTGAAATTGGTCCTGAGAAATGCAAATTCTAGTAATTCCTGTAATAACTTATGTGCATTATATGATAATTTGGAACAACAAATTCGGGCTCTGGAAACCCTTGGCGTTACTACAGATAAATGTGCTGCATTACTTTATCCTTTAGTCGAATCTTGCTTGCCTGAGGATTTCTTAAGAGCCTATCAAAGAAGTGCAAATGTTGACCATGGTCCAGACCCAAAATGTAGACTGGACAGTTTATTAAAATTTTTGAAATCAGAAGTAGAATCCGAAGAACGCATAAGTTTAGCTATGGCTGGTTTTGGTTTGAAGAACGAAGTGACCTGTGGGATTAAATCTATTCAAATTGTTCACGATCGACCATCAACGCCAGCAAGTTTGTTGAGTGCTGATTCTCCCGCTAAGAAGTGCGTGTTTTGCTGCGGAAAACATGATTCATTTAATTGTTTTAAGGCTCAAAAAATGCCATTTTCAGAAAGGCAAAAACTCTTAAAAGATAAAGGGCACTGCTTTAGCTGTTTAAAGGCTGGTCACTGTGCAAATAAATGCAGGAGTTCTGTTAAATGTGCAATTTTCCATAAAAATCACAGCGTAATTATGTGTTTAGAATTGCTTAAAAATAAAACAAATGTTAAGAAGCCTATGTTAAACAGCAATGAAAAAGAAACTGGCAAGGAAGAAAGTTCTGTAAATCTTTCTAGTATTAGCAACACACCACAAGTACTTTTGCAAACCCTGAAAGTAAAAATAATTGGAAATAATTGTACACTTTGTGTTCGAGCTTTATATGACACAGGATCGCAAAAATCGTATTTAAGGAAGGATTTAATTTCTACTCTAGGCCTGATACCTTCTAGACAACAGATTTTAAGCCACGCCCTTTTTGGAGGAAAACGAACACCTGAAAATGTGTATAGTGTCTACACAATTAAGCTAAAGAGTTTAGACGATAATTTTACTTGTACTTTTGATATTTATGCGCAAGATACAATTTGTCATGTTGTACCTTCTGCCTTAAATGGGTCATGGATTAAAGAGCTCCAGTCCATGAATATACCATTTTATGACACTGAAGATTCATCAGGTCCTGTTGATCTTTTAATTGGTGCAGATGTGGCTGGTCGACTTTTCACCGACAGAAAAATAGTACTTTCTAGTGGTATTGTAGCCATAGAAACTTACCTGGGCTGGACATTGATCGGTAAAACATCAGTGAATGCTGAAAGGGAAGATACGGCGATGACGGTTGTAACAATGTTTGTGAAAGATGCCAATATTCCTGACCTTTCTTCCTTGGACAGCTTAGGAATATCCGATACAGTCGAAGTAAAATCACGAAAGGAAAAGGAATTTATTACGAAGAAATATTTTCAAGAGACACTAAGAATTAAGAATGATAGGCGGTACGAAGTTGTCTTACCATGGAAAGATGATCATTTGCCTCTCCTCACTACCAAAGATATAGCGATAAGAAGACTTGAAGTCTCAACAAAAAGTCTGAATTCAGAAAAATTATTTGATACCTATGATGATGTCTTTAAAAAAGGGACTGAATTGGGAATAATAGATGATGTCAGAGATGAGCATTCACACCTTCCTGGGATCCAGAATCCAGCTGTTTTGCCTTCTCGAAGATGTTCCGCTAAACAACTGTTATCAACCAAATAGTGAGAGGGATCCACTTGGTTATTAGAATCATCATCTAACTGGCCTGTCACAGAACAAAATATTGATGAGCATTCTATAGCTAAGGAAAAGAGAAAAACAAAACCTGATGAACACTCTTCTATCTGTTCTCGAAGTTACTCAAACACTTGTAGCCGCAAAACTGATGAAAAGAAAAATAATGGATACAGACATTAGGGATCAAGTTGGTACAATTATTATTTTTCAAGCTATGACGAAGTGATACATTTGATTGCTTGGATAAATAGATGTATCATTACTTATCTAAATGCTAATTCTTCGCGAATTATTGGCGAGTTTTCTTTGGGTGAAATGACAAAATATAAAGTCAGGAAAAAGAAATTGTGGCCTCATCCAAATATAATTGAAATGTATTTTGCTTTTGCTGATCAAACACCTTTACTTCCTGGTGCCTTCACCAAATATCCACAAGCCTTTCCTATTTGTCTTCTGAGTAATGGATGTGGTAGAAATATGACTCTGTTTCTTGTTTGAAAAATGACTCATATGATAAAAGTGATTTACCTTCTCTTCTATATCAAAAGTACCACCAGTAATAGAGAAATTTGTCAGAAGTATTCTGCATAAAAACCAGGAGTGGATGAGAAGTCACGTTGGACTTTAACTCATTTCTTCTATGTTTTTCCATTTAAGTTTTTCTTTTATTTCTAATAGGTTCAGTTGTTTCAACAACTTAAGGTGGGAGGATGTTGGATTTCTCAACAGTGTAGTTTGTATTTTGTATTTAATTTTATACTTATAATTTTACAATACTTATTACTTTAACTTTTTGGCCACTAATAATTGTTGTTAGTTTGCTTTCTTGGAAGTGGCAGCAGGGCAATTTATAGAATTAGGAAAATATGTTTCTGTAGTTAGTTAGGCTTATTGAAGATTAATTGTATGTTATATACCTGAGTGATGTTTTATTAAATAAATGAATACTTTAGAATATAGTAGTCTCTTTAGAGTCCTTGATACGCTGCTAGCGTAATAGTTTGACGCGTAAGCGAACAGTGAGAGCTACTATCTCGTTAGGTTAACCCTTAGGTCGGGAGCTCTCAGAATGGCGTTAAAGTCACTTAGGGATGAGTTCTGCGCATTTTAGCGTCCATGTTGTTGGTTGTTTCTTGTGTGCCGATGAAAATCGCCTATATTTTGGTATTTATTGTGATTATTTTGTGCAAGTGCTTTGTTATGGATGTATAGATATTCTGATGTGATTATTTCGACTTGGTTTTGGAATACAAGCAAGGTTTTTGAAGAAAAAAGCGATTTTGAAGTCGATGCATACGGAATAGCTCATTAGCATATCTCATGTAAGCTTTTACTTCTTGTTACTAATGCTGTTATCACATCTATAGACGCGCGCGCTTACCCGGGACAATTCCGAGAAACGAGATGATTCTAGTAGCACGGCTTTAAGCGGCAGGCTTCCGAGAAATGTTTCGTCTAGCTAGGAGGAACGTGTCCCGGCTACGAGCAACATTTTAAAACTTTTCCCAAAATGTTCCGGCTGGAGACGTGTTCCTCGAACGTTCAGCCAATCAGACGAAAGGTCAGCTTCTGAAGGATCATGGGTAACTTTCAATATGGCGATGGGTCTCACTGTGAAGTGATGGATGGTGGAAATAGAGGCCGATTTAATTATTGCTGTTTTTGTTGTAATACAACTGCCTGAGTCATTTTTAAATGTGTATATATTCATTAAATATATAATCGTGGAAATTTCAGAGTTGACATTATTTTACGACGTTCTTGCATTTCGGATTTGTTTACAAATTGTTCGTAGCCAAAAGTTCGCCAAATTTGTCGTATTTCGTGCTGATCGTGTATTATAACACTGTTATATAATATAATTTTATTTCTTAAATTTAAGTTGAATAATTTTTTAAAATCCGTTTGTATATGCGCGGCTTTTCTCCTAATTACTTATCTTTTAAATTGTTAACTGCATAATCAGTGACACATTTTAAACAGCATAAAAGATGCATAAAAAAGTAAAGCATAGCTTATGTAATAATGAGAATACTCATTAAATTTATCTATTATTTTCATGTTATTAATGAAATACTTTTTGAATTATAAATACATTAGAAACTATACTTTTATTGTAAATGCTACATATTGAAACATTGAAAATTTATGGATTTATTATTATGCATGAGGAAAAACATTTGTATATACATTCATTTAATATAAATCTTATTCATTACATTAATACTAATAAATATATATTAACAACTTCTAAAACATCGCATCTCTCTATCTGATGTAAATATATGATATTAAATGTGTTATATATATATGTATGTATGAATACAAAAATGAACATTGCCAAGAAGTTTATTTGAAGTTACTTTTAATTCAGATAACGATTATGTAATTGGCAGCAACTATAGTTATCAGTTCTTTGCAAATTATTATGTGTATGTAATAATTAGTTGAAAAATAATTGATGAGTATTTGAGTACTAAAGAGTGTACACATTTTGTTATTGGGTTAATTCATAATTATATCATACGTATGATCTACGTAATAAAAACATGACTAATAAACCATAAGAAATGTAACAGCTGTGCATTTATAACATTTGATTACTTAAAACAGCGCACAACTGATTATCACCTTCATGTCTGTTTACATAATGAATTGCACTTTCCAATTAAGTGCACGGGACTACTAGTGGCCGAAGCGTCGTTGAACACTGGTAGTTCTGTCTCAGGTTAGAATGCCGCGAACGGGCTGGCTACATGACGTTTCCTTGGTTTGCCCCATTTGTAACTGGTATACGAGCTAGTTTTAAAAAATCTTCCACAAAGGGATCCCTCTTGTTGTTATCCCTCGAGGCTTTGCGGTAATCACATAAAACCAACTGAGCCCACCAGCGGCCGAGCGGTAAAGTCGCTGAACACTGGTAGTTCGGTCCGAGGTTCGAATCCCGCGAACGGGCTGGCTGCATGGACGCTTTCGTGGTTTTCCCCATGTGTAACGTGTATACGAGCCAGTTTCCCTTAGAAAGTCCTCCCCGAAGGCATCCCTTCCCTTAGGCAGATAGCCCTAGTGTGCTTTGCTGTAATCTCAATAAATCAAAC